CGCGTGCGCGCTGGCGGGCAGCCTCGCAGGGCTGTGCCCCGACCCCGGCAGGTGGGATCGGAGCCGGGGACCCCCTCTGCCGTGTCCCGGTCCTGCGGGAAGCGCTGGGGCGGTCGTCGGCCGAAGGGGCCCGGAGCCCCACCCCCACCCTTCTCCCCAGGACTCCTGCTCGGAGGCGGGCGCCCTCCGGGGACACTGTCCTGCCGCGGGGCTCGCGGTGGGGCATCGACCTGGGATCCAGGAGATCGGGGTCCGGTCCCGGTCAGGGCACGTGCGGGGTTGGGGCTCGATCCCCCTCGGCGTGCAGGAGGCAGCCGGTCCACGACTCTCATCATGGATGTTTCTCTCCCTCCCCCTGTCCCTCCTTCTCCCTGAAATCAATAAAGACAAATCTAAGAAGACAGACAGGCCCAGAGAAAGGGTGACGGGGCGGGAGCCACAGGGAGCCCTGCCCTGAGTCACTGGGACCCGACTTCCCCACCCGCCCAGCCTCGCCGGGGGCCCAGTTCTTCTGGCCCCTGAACAGAGGGGGGCCAGGCACTCGAGGTCCCCAGCCCATCAGTGACCCAAACCTGCCCAGGGTCCCTGAGAGTCAAGTCCTGGGTGCCCCGTGTCTGGCCTCTGCCGGAGCCTGTGCCAGGTGGGGTCCGCTGTGGGCAAGTCTGCCCAGCCCCTGCCCATGGGGAGAGCTGTTCTCGTAAAAATAGTTCCACTGTTTCCCCAGCGTATTTTCCACCCAGCCCATGAATAGGGTCATTATGCACCAGTGGACACCGCACTGAGGCTCGATTTCCGCTCCCACGGTCCCCTCCCTGGCCCTGGGGAAGGGGAGGCAGAGCTTGGCCCAAGTGGGGGGCCAGGGCCAGGGCCAGGGTGGGGATCCAGAGGGGGGTACTGTTCCCAGGCAGCATCTGGAGCCCTGACTTCAGGGGCCTGGAGCTGGTCCTCTCCACCTCACATCTGTCATGGAGGAATATTTAGAGGGACATGAGGATGGCAGACAGGTGGCGGTGGGAAGGTTGGTGTCTGGACAAGGGGAGGGCCAGGTGGGTAGGCAGACCAGCACACTGTCCACCACACCCCCTCAAGAGGCAGCCCAGGAGAGGGCCATGTTGGGGACTAGGGTGTGTCCCCCCC